TTTTTCTTCCTTTTCCTCAGACGGAAATCAAAGTGTGATGGAGTTGTGTTTGTGTTTGTGAGTAAGTGCCTTCATTGGCGAGAGCACTTAGCAGCACAGAGGACAATGGCTGATTTCCCTTGTACAACTGTCCCTGTCTGCTGATGTCTGCTGATGGTCGCCCAAAATTACCAGGAATTTAGAGCAAAAGAGAACTTGGCTGCTGATGCTCGCCCTAGTAGAAAGTAGAGTCCATTCTCACATTTGCAGTTTTCAGTTAGAGTGGACAGTGTTTGCTTTTCCTCTGCCTTTCTCTCACCCTCTTTTGAAAATATAAAATGCACAAAAAATCAAAGGGATTATCGAGCAGTGGCACAAGGATCTTATGCCTCTCTCCANTGATGCTCGCCCTAGTAGAAAGTAGAGTCCATTCTCACATTTGCAATTTTGCAGTTAGAGTGGACAGTGTTTGCTTTTCCTCTGCCTTTCTCTCACCCTCTTTTGAAAATATAAAATGCACAAAAAATCAAAGGGATTATCGAGCAGTGGCACAAGGATCTTATGCCTCTCTCCATTGCATGGTCGTTGCGTGGTGATATGCATTTTCCAATTGAAAACGAGTGCGCACGACTACGTCTCGCAAATGGAAGGAATGAATGGACGGTGGGTATTAGCGGCCTCGTTGATGCAGATTGATTTTACAGTGAGAATGAGTGAGAATGGAGAATGGGGACTTGCATTTTCCATTTCTCCATTGAAGTGATGCAAGTGTGTTTGCAGAATAAAGTGCAATTTGGCTCATCATTGAAAGCAGCAGAGCTCTTGAACTGTGTGTGTGTGCGTGTGTGCGCGTGAACATCAGTTGACACAAGGCAGCATCAATTATCTCGGTTTGCTGCTGCTGGTGATGGTGATAAGGAGCAGCAGCAGTCATTCACAGTGTGCAGTTTGCACATTAGCATGACAAGAGGAGAGTCAGTCAGTGAGGGTGACAGCGTCTTTGTTTTGGTGCATTCCATCTGCGAATCTATCTAATCAATTCTTCTCTTCTTTTTTCTTTTTTTCTTCTCCACTAGCCCCCATGAAAGAGAGCAGGCACCTCCTGAACGGCCCTCCTGGACGACCTCGACCTCGTCGACCACTACCACTACTGCTGCTGTCCCGCCGTACTAATCATCTGTGATAATTAATCAGCCACTAGTGTGAGTGTGTGTTCAGCCACCACCATGTCCCGGTTACTGCTGCTGGTGGTAGTGGTGGTGGTGGTGATGGCTGTTGTGGCATCAGCGGCAGAATCTGCCTCCACTTTTCCAAAAGGCAGCTCATCACTTCTAAAGGAGTGGACTAGAAGAGGCCTGCTGAGAAACTCGGCATTTGATGGGGGAGGAGGTGAGGGTGATCAGGGGGACTACGAGGAGGATTTTCAGACCTTCTTCAATTCATCCTCGAACGGCATCAGCACAACACCTTCTCCAGTGCAGGACATCCTCGAAGGTGGTGGTGGTGGTGGTGGTGGTGATGACCCACTGGGCAGCCCCCAGTTCACCCTTCGCTACAACCTCTGGCTGACGGTCTTCATCGGCGTCTGCATCGCCATCTGCATCGTCATCACCATCCTCGGCAATATCCTCGTGCTGGCGGCCTTCCTCGTGGAGCGGTCCATCCGCCAGCCGTCCAACTACTTCATCGCCTCGCTGGCCGTCTCCGACCTGTGCATCGGCATCATCAGCATGCCCTTCTACGCCGTCTACGAGCTGATGGGTCGCTGGGACCTGGGCCCCATTCCCTGCGACCTCTGGCTGGCCACCGACCACACCGTCTGCCTCGTCTCCATCTACACCGTCCTCGCCATCACCGTCGACCGCTACTGCAGCGTCCGCCACCCGACCCGCTACCGAAACTGGCGCACCCGCGGCAAGGTCCTCTGGCTGATCGCCCTCACCTGGGTCATTCCCTTCTCGCTCTTCTTCACCTCCATCATGGGCTGGGAGTACTTCATCGGCTACCGGGACCTGGAGCCAGGCGAGTGCGCCGTGCAGTTCCTCAAGAAGCCGCTCTTCAACACCCTCCTCGTCATCGGCTATTTCTACATCACCATCGTCGTGCTCTTCGTCCTCTACGCGGGCATCTACCGCACCGCCAGCGACATGGCGAAGAAGGCTGATCAGAAGCAGCGGAAGATGCAGCAGTCGCTGGCGGGCACTCACGAACCGAGCACCAAGCAGACGCAGCTGGAGGTGTCGCCGCAGACGGCAGAGGGAGGAGGAGGAGGACCTGGAGGAGGAGCTGGAGGAAAAGGATTGGTGGTGCTCAAGAAGCGACAAGAGGAGGAGGACTGCTCGGAGGAGTTTTGTAGTGGTCCTGGGGATGTCTATCGAAAGGCAGCCAAGTCAGCAGGCAAATCGGTGAAGGTGAGCAGCTGGCGGCCGTCCAGCAACTCCAACGAAGGCGACGAGGAGGACGACTTTGACGATGATGAAGAGGAGGAGGAGGAGGAGGACTTTGATGATTATCATCGACATTCTGCTAAGCACGGCCCACAGCCGCACCACTCGCCACTGCCGCTGCCCATTCCTAGCTCGGCGAAGAAGGCGGCCATCATCACCACCACTACCACCACCGCCAACACCACTTCATCCTCAAAGGGCAAAGGAGGCAGCAGCAGCAAGAAGAAAGGAGGCAACAAGGAGACGACCAGCGACGACCCCGATCGTTCCAGTTCGCCCATGTTTGAGTCGGATGAGGAGTCGCCGCTGGGCCCGGACGAGGACTCCAGTGAGGTGGTCGTCGAGCGACGTCCGCCTACCAAGTCCAAGTCATCTGAACAGCGAAAGGGAAGTTGCACTGCCGGTGGTGGTGGTCGTTCCAGCACCGTCAAGTCCTCTCGCACCTTCAAGTACCTCGGTCGGAACATGCCCCTCGAGTCGATTGCGCCCACCTTTGGCGGTGTCTCCCTCGCCAAGTCGCACTCCACCGTCACCCCCAAGACTTCATCCTTGTCCTCCAAGTTCAGCTACCACCACCACCACCACCACACCCATCATCACTCCCAATCAGTTCTGCCTCCGCCAGCCCTTCCGCCGGCGCCCAACTCTACGCCCACCAAACCGCTGATTCCTCGCTCCCCCATCGTCACCTCCAACGGCCATCAGAGCTGCAAACTGGAGGACTTTCTGAGCGCCCCGCCCGGTGGGCGGTGTCCACTACTGCCGCCGACCTCTGGTGGTGCTCCGCCGCTCAAACTGGCGTCGCAGCCAAATCTGCCGGCGGTGGCAGCGTCGGACAAGGACGAGGAGGCGGTGGAAGGAAAAGAGGGTAAGTACAATAACATTTTTTGAGTTTTCGAATCAATGGAGTGTAATTGTGAAATGCAGATGCCGAAAAAGACGTGTGCTGCACCGAGAAGACTGCCTGCCTCAGCAGCTCAGGTCACCATTCCACGGAGAGCGTTCACAGTACGGGAAATACTAGACAACAACAGCAGCAGCAGGCGAACGTCGTCGAGCGGACCAGATCACTGGGCGTGGAGATGCTCACCAAGGTGGTCGATGGACAAAGGTAAAAAGGGCGGAATTTTGTGCATTATCCTCACCACCTAACACATCCTTTTCAGTATGATCGATGGCGCCCACCAGCACGTGTTCACTCCCATCCACCCCGCCCCTGCCACCACCCTTCAACTGCTCAGCTCTCAGCGCCATCATTCCATTGCCGCGGTGACGCCCACGGCCACTCTGCTGGTCACTGCGTCCATCACCCGCTCCACCATGGTGACCACCACGGCGGCACTGTCCATTCCACCGCCACAGTCACCTCCTCACCACCTTCAGACATCACTCTCCGACGAACAGTACTCACCGCCTAGACTCGAGGAGGATTATGAAGAGGAGGAGGAGGAGGAGTGCTCTCAGCCCTTTGCCAACGCCCACACTCATCCTCATCCTCATCCTCTTCCAGATCATGACCTCCACGATCACCACGACCTCCATCACCACCATCATCACCATCACCACACTCACACTCACTTTAGCAGCAGCAAGTCGCTGACCCAGAGCGGCGGCCCTAAGGCTCCTACCAAAACCTCCACTTCATCATCGCTGAAAGCTCAGCGGTCCGGCTCGCGGGAGCTGGTGAACGGTTCTAAAGGCACGTCCACTCCGAAGGGCTCCTCCCGTTTCGGGCGAGGGGGCAGCAAAAAGTCCTCCAAGTCGAAGCTCGACTGCGGCGGAAAGCTGGTCCTCTCGACGGCGGTGAAGAAGGCCGTGGAGGCCTCGGTGCCGCGTAAGAAGTCCAAATCGGAGAACCGGGCCCGTAAGGCGCTGCGCACCATCAGCTTCATCCTGGGCGCCTTCATCATCTGCTGGACGCCCTACCATATTCTGGCGCTGTGGGAGGGCTTCTGCGGCAGCAGCGGCCCCTGCGTCAATCGACACATCTTCTACTTTACCTACTTTCTCTGCTACGCCAACAGGTAAGTGCTCTGCTCTCCTTTACTGCTAATTAGTAATCGGATTTAGCTACACTCTCATTCTCTCTCACTCTCGAGCACACTTGATTGAGCAGGCACACACACACTTTTGCCGCGTANACTCTCATTCTCTCTCACTCTCGAGCACACTTGATTGAGCAGGCACACACTTTTGCCGCTCACAGTGATTGCCCTTCTCCGCCTGACTGCACTTTTCTATNTTGCCCTTCTTCTCCGCCTGACTGCACTTTTCTATCTATTTCGGAGCTGTTTATTTTGGGAATCACCAGGCAGCCAGCCAGGCAAGCAGGAAGTGTGCCTGGAAGAAGGGACCTGGCTGGGAAAAGTTACACTTGCTCTTCTCTTTCTGGCGGTAATTATTACCGTTTCAGATGTTAATTGGGGCAGTGGTGGTGGTGGCAGAACATCCAGAGTGTAATCGGTGATTAGGCCACTGCAAAAGGTCATCACCATCATCATCATCATCATCCTCTGGCTTTCAAAGTTTCAAAGTCGGGCGAATTTAATTTTCTCCTCCTCCTCCTCTTCCATTTAGTAGCAGTTTAATAAATTCTTGCAGAGTTGGCCCATAGTTGACAGAGGAGTCATTGTTTAAACTCCTTTCCCCAAAACTAAGAAAGTCNCACAGTGATTGCCCTTCTTCTCCGCCTGACTGCACTTTTCTATCTATTTCGGAGCTGTTTATTTTGGGAATCACCAGGCAGCCAGCCAGGCAAGCAGGAAGTGTGCCTGGAAGAAGGGACCTGGCTGGGAAAAGTTACACTTGCTCTTCTCTTTCTGGCGGTAATTATTACCGTTTCAGATGTTAATTGGGGCAGTGGTGGTGGTGGCAGAACATCCAGAGTGTAATCGGTGATTAGGCCACTGCAAAAGGTCATCACCATCATCATCATCATTCTCTGGCTTTCAAAGTTTCAAAGTCGGACGAATTTAATTATCTCCTCCTCCTCTTCCATTTAGTAGCAGTTTCATAAATTGTTGTTGTAGAGTTGGCCCACAGAGTTGACAGAGGAGTCATTGTTTAAACTCCTTTTCTGAAAACTAAGAAAGTCTGCCTGCACCGCCATAAATTCGGTGTGTGTGTCTCTCTTCTGCTGCTGCTGGCAATTAGTCGCCCGGCAGCAACCGACGATCCAGTGCCCCTATTTTTCCTCTTTTTGCAAAGTTTATTGAAGCATTTCCTCTTTCCTCGCTCTCTTTCATTCTCAATTCAAATCAATTCACCGCTGCTAATAAGGCAGGCAAGCAGGGACTCAGTTCAGCAGCAGCTCAGTAATAAATGTCATCGTAATGAGCTTACGTTTGCCAGACTTGACACATCGGGGGAAGAACCGAGTGGTGGTAGGGTGGTGACAGTGTCTTCGTCTCTTTTTCCCTTTGATGCGTTTCCAGGGCAAAGTATCGGCCTGTGTGCCTTGGTGCTCTTTTCTTCCTCGATTTCACCCTGATTCATCCCTGAATCACGTTGTCTCTGTCCTCGTCGACCACACTGAGCACTGAACACTCACTTCAAATCGTGCTTGATTCACTGTCTTTCNCTCTTTCATTCTCAATTCAAATCAATTCACCGCTGCTAATAAGGCAGGCAGGCAGGCAGAGACTCAGTGCAGCAGCAGCAGCAGCAGCTCAGTAATAAATGTCATCGTAATGAGCTTACGTTTGCCAGACTTGACACATCGGGGGACGACAACCGAGTGATGGTAGGGTGGTGACAGTGTGTCTCCGTCTCTGTTTCCCTTTGATGCGTTTCCAGGGCAAAGTATCGGCCTGGGTGCTCTTTTCTTCCTCGATTTCACCCTGAATCACGTTGTCTCTGTCCTCGTCGACCACACTCGTCGAGCACTCACTTCAAATCGTGCTTGATTCACTCTGTCTTTCTTCTTCTTCTTTTTGCTCCTCAGAACACACNCTTCTTCTTTTTGCTCCTCAGAACACACAGTTTCAAGTATTTACCAAAATATTTTTCTGAAATGTGATAAGCAACAGCAGCAGCAGCAGCAGTGCTGTTCCTTAGTAGTCTGACCAACTAAGAATATGTGCCGCTTCTGTGTTTATTCAGTGTGTGTGTGCTTGTTTGTCTGTCTGTCTGTCTGTCTGTTGAAGAAGAGACAAAGGAGCAGAGAAACAACAAAAAGATAAAGAGAAGAGATGAATCTCTTTCCTTATCTAGTGCCTCGGTCTGCAGTCTGTTTGGGTTTGACCAGAGNCACACACAGTTTCAAGTATTTACCAAAATCTTTTTCTGAAATGTGATAAGCAGAAGCAGCAGTGCTGTTCCTTAGTAGTAGTCTGACCAACTAAGAATATGTGCCGCATCTGTGTTTATTCTGTGCCTGTGTGTGTGCTTGTTTGTTTGTCTGTCTGTTGAAGAAGGAGAGACAAAGGAGCAGGGAAACAACAACAAAAAGATAAAGAGAAGCGATGAATCTCTGTCCTTATCTAGTGCCCCGGTCTGCAGTCTGTTTGGGTTTGACCACCACCACCACCACCAGGGCAAAGAACTTGCAGGGACTTATGATTACTTTTAGTTGTGTCTGCAACCGTGAACTAAAACTTTTCCTCTTCTTCCTTTCTTCCTTTATTTCTCTCCTCTTCTGCAGTCCACTAAATCCGTTTTGCTACGCACTCATGAATCAGCAATTCAAGAAGACCTTCATCCGCATCCTCCGCGGACATCTACACCGAACCTAATCCCCTTGCGCCCTTTCTTTCTTTCTTTCTCCTTTTTCTCTCAGTGTCAGCTGAAGCGAACGTAAGAACGGGCAAGGGGAAGAAAGGCAACGGGGAAGTGCTGCTGCAGAAACTCACATTGCTGAAAAAGAGTGAAAGAGAGTGGCAATGCAAAAAGTGATTCTCTCTTTCTCTCTTCTAGTCTCTTTCTCTCTTCTTTTTTCTTCCCTTCCTTCTGCAATCTCTACGATGAGGTTCCAACCACACTGGCTACGAACACCCTTCTTTGCTAAGTTAACTTATCAACACACACA